TGGTAAAATTAATATTGTATTATTCTCTTCTTCTCTACACTAACTCTGTTACATCTTTTAGTTCAACTTCAGTTGATCATCTTCGCCATACACCTGTAAGTCTGTAAGCGCCTTTAGACTAGTCTGAGACACGATGCGTACTTCACTCCAGTAACGGACAAATAAAAGGTTTGTGAAACGCCACCAGGCTCGCCTCGGACGCATCACTGACTCGTAATGTAATGATTGGTACTGAAACAAGCCCGAGGATATCGAATTATGCGCCACATTATACTTCGTCGCGAGTTATATTTACATCTAGTCCGACAGATTAAAGATTTAAGAACACTATTACAAACACTGATATATTTCAAAGCTTTTCGATTTTTGGAATGTGATGGAACAGCAGCTATACTCGTAATAGATTAATAATTCGTTAAGATTAATTATTCTATGTCTTACATCGATGACACGCTAAACATCACCGAAAGGGTTAACCCTTTCGGTGATGTTTTGCAGAAATTTACACTTTGAAAAATAATTACACTTTGACATAATTGTCAAAGTGTAATTATTTTTCAAAGTGTAAATTTCTGCTGGTTGTGAAAATGTTATTTAACTTTTAAACTTTGGCTTTTACAAAAATACGTGGGTATTTGTTAAATTGGAACCTGAATTTAAACTGGGTATGTATCACCCTGTTGATACCAGAAATATTGCAGGTCCTACACAATTAATAAAATTACACACACACAATTAAATAAATAACATTTTCATAACCAGCAGAAATTTACACTTTGAAAAATAATTACACTTTGACATTAATGTCAAAGTGTAATTATTTTTGATTATATTTACAGGGTGATACATACCCAGTTTAAATTCAGGCTCCAATTTAACAAATACCTACGTATTTTTGTAAAAGCCAAAGTTTGAAAGTATGCAGACGCTTTTTCTTATCATTTCGCTAGTATCTCTACACAACTCTGAGGCGATTGCACTATCTACGAACTGACAGTGCAATGTTCTCGTGCTCACGCGTCCATGGCGCGAAGGTGTGCAGCTCCCATGTTACTTCTTTAGATTTCCTGGACGTGTCCTTACGACTCGACTCGTGTCCTTACGATAGCTTAATGTGTTAACGTCGATTTATATTATTTTATACAATACTAGCGATCCGCCCAGGCTTCGCACGAGTTCAATGTAGATACTACTAATAATACCAGTAATTAATCATACTATTATTATGATAGGACTACACTACAGCACATCTTTATATGCAATATATATCCTGGGTTATTTCCTTTGGAGATAGACATATGCCATCGTAGACTTTGCTGTATATCTTTTTAAAATATACAATTCCGTAGTACATTATTTAGCCAGCGTTTGACAGATCTTTGAAATTCTCGTATTATCTCTAAAAGCGATTTTATACTACGTAAAGATGCCATAAGAACTTGGATATGAAAGCGATTGTCAAGTTTGCAATTCGTCAGTTATGCACGTTAGTAATACATAGATAGTAATACTAAATACCGTATGAGTATATATGTAAAAAACACATCGGTTAGTTCATTAGTGTGATGTTTTAATGTTCCAAAATTAGGTTTTTTTTTTCTTACAAAGAATTACATTAATCATGTGAAATACATGTCATTGTACTCGTACATAAGCATATTTAAAGGAAATTGCCCTAGCACATCTTATCACATCTTTATTGTTTGTTTGTATTTCAAACGGGTAATAATCTAACTATTTGTAGTTAGATTATTACCCGTTTGAAAACGATACAGCAAAATTAGTTTAAGGACAAAATCATAGTTGACACATTGTAAGTGTTTCACGCCTCAGCCTACCTCACATATGATACAGGCATGAGTGTTTTTACGTATGCCTGTTCCTGGAAGTTGCGAAGCAAACACACGTACCTCAAAAAAGCTATCGGTGCCAACAAACCCACGCAGCACCAAAATTGCCACACCCTATCCAGAGAGTCCAATATGTTTTAATTATTAATAGATTGATGACTCTATTTACCAACAAAAAAGAAACTATTTTGACTAGGAGAGGTCTCTGATTTCTAAGAAATATATGCCAAGACATATATATATATATATATATAATTATGTACTTATACAATACAAACAATCGCTGTATAATATGTACGAGTATAATATGTTACGTTAGAATACGAAATCCGTTAATATGCCCATTAACTAGGTAATCTGCAAATTACCGAGCATGAACCGTTAAAGACTAAATTTTACGTGAAAGTAGCAGATATTTACACTTTATCTACTTAGCATTTTTACGGATGCTACATTGTTAAATCGCGTAAGACAGTGAACGAAACACTTTTGTCTAGTTTTCTCAGTCACCCCGTACTCGCACCTGTATACTAAAAGTACTTTTGACTGCAACATCATACTGTTATGACCTCATCTAACCCAATTGATTCATCAACAATAGAAGGACACGGCTTGCTCGTCTTCACGGTTTAATGGTCACTGTTCTAAAGACGAAGCATACGGTTGAGTTACTAACCCAAACTTAACCGTACGCTAGGTCGTTAGTCTGCAGATTACCTAGGAAGTCTGCAGATTATCTAGTTAATGTAAGAACTGACACAATATTTTCCACTTTAACAGACACAACCAGATATCCTGCAGATTAACAACTTAATCTGCACTCTAACTGATTTACACACATTAGCGTTAACATATATGTACATTTATCAACTTCGTTCTTTCTTCATTTCTGCATACGTACATACGTTTTATAAAAGAGGGTGTAACAACAATGTGCCTGTGTGTCAATGTGTCAGTGTGTGTGTCAGTATATAATTGAAAGTCCCTTTGTGAGCAGTTTGTTCTGTTACCTCAAGTAGAATATTTGAAATATGCACAGTAATTAGCAATGTAATGAAACAAACATCGGATAGCCTAAGTTTCCGCTATCTCCAGACATATAATCCTAAATATGGAAACATTTCTAATTTCCCCACCGTTGTTAATGTACCAATTGAAGTGGCTGCCCGATAAGGCGCCTCCGACGAGAATATTATAATTAGTGTACAGAAGCCAGTCATTAGTATTCACAAGTTATCAGTACATTTGCTAAGTGTCCGTAGTTTGAATATTTTAAAGTGTAATGGGGTAAGAAATAATAGCCAGGTTCTGATTAAGAAAACATTTTAAGGTAGGCGGCACTATTTTAAGAATGGTCAGATATTCATTGAGTAGTTTCTGTGTGGCCGACACCTGACAAGTTAATAATTCAAAGATCATGTAACGAAACAAGAATAAACTCACAAAAATATGACGACAATTTTGAAAAAACAAAAACAATATTAGTATTTTTTTGACTTAATCACAAAATCCAACCAGTTAAACCCTGGTAACGAAATCAGTTTACATTAAAACATACATATATGTATTAAAATAAATAAAAAACTTAATAATCGTGAAATGAATTCAAAAATTCAATCAAACCTATTCACATAAATTCGCATCTATAATATCAGTTAAGGTACAATATTGTTATTATATGACACATAGAATTCCTATACACCAAAAACTACACTCTGACAGTCCTTAAGTCTCCCTAAATCCAAAGACGGCGACGCTTCTCCCAGGCTCCGACCAGGCAATCATAACTAAATGTTAAGTAACCATGAAGAAAAACCGCTTTGGTGTGCTTCGATAACATTTATAGATTCACTTTTTAATTAAATAATATATTATCCGCACATTAGTATATTATCCGCCTCTAGAAAGTTATGACAGGTCAGAGGTTATCGTCTGGCCAAAGAGCAACGAGATCACATGTTTTTTATGTTCTTTGACCATCTGCCCCACACTACAAATTCAGTAACTCAAAGATTGTTCTGCGTCAACACCCACTATCATCATGTATCTATCTTTTTCTCAAATTATGACACGGGGCAATGTGCTTCCACATTGCGAAGAGTTTTGGCTGGCCGCCTGATTGACCCCAACGCTCCATAAGAATGTCGTTGTTTTCAGACAGGACGAAGAAAGACGGTTAATCTGGTTAAGGAAAACGGATAAGGTGAGGAAACTAAGGCAAAAGATACCGCAAGTCGCGTAAATAGGAATAACCCTGCAGGAGCTCGAATCAACCGGAGTCGTATAACTTCTGGTTCTGTATCTGTGTTGTTTAGTTTTAAGTAATGAAAATCAGTTCTGTAGACGTCTAGTATTAGTAGACGTCTGTCGATTGAATTGCGACCTCAATTGTGCAATACCCAACGTCAGTGTTTCAGAACACAATCTCAGCGGCACAACTAAAGCTACTGATAGACGATAAACATATTTCGTATTGCTAATGTCTGTGTCAGTTTTGGTCAAAACGACACGATATTTTGCAATTAAATGTAATTTACTAACTAACCATTCGGTACTACCGACGAGACCCACTCCTTACACAAGCGTTTAGCTTAGTTGGAGGGGACAAAAATACTAGTAATGTATGACCAACAGTGCTAGTATGCTATACAAACAAAAAATTATAAGAGGTCAACAAGTGTCTATAATAACTTCCAAAAAGATTCTTCAGTGCAGAAACAATCTGGTTGTTTAGCAAATCGGTAAATGAAAAACAACGTGTATTAAAGTCGTCCATCAGCGACACGTCAGTCGACGCGCGGCGTCTCTACTTGCTTAATACACTCCAATATTTTTGCCAAAAGTCCCAATTGATCGAAACTCGATATACTTCTCTCAGACTAGTAAAGCTGCGAACATCACACTTTTGCGTCAGACAAGCAACCTTGGTCTCATGTACCAAAGATCACGCTACAGTTGATATATACTGAAAAAAAAACAATTGTGTCATATTATTAGGTCAATATAGATAATAGACATGTAGACAAATTAGAAAGACAGAAATGTATACGTCTGCAAAAGTTCAACGAAAAGTTTTGACTATACTAACTATACGGAAGGTAGATAGTGAAAACAGTGGTTAATACTCGTGTTGTTATTGTATTGTTTCAGCAACCCGCGAGGCGGCCTTCACGTACGCGATCACTTCGGCGGGAGTCACACACGCGCTGAGCGCAGCGTGCGCCCGCGGCGACCTGCCCGCCTGCCAGTGCACTGCCAACCGGTACGTACTGGATACGAAGACCGACAGTCTGCTCCATTATCAAAACAATAAAAATTACTTTACTATAAAATGATACTAACAAACATTATAAATGTGAATGTTTTTTTATTGGTTTTTAAATACTCATCCGATTATTATGAGGGTTACAATGAAGGAACACATGGAATATATCATGTAGATGAGAGGTAGGGGAGAACACTGTTCTCTTTTCACATTCCTCATTCTTGTTGTTCAGTCGCCGAGGTTCATCAACTTCGGAGCAGTTCGAGTGGGGTGGCTGCGGGGACGGCGCGTACGGCGCGCGGCTCGCACGGCGTTTCCTGGACGCGCGCGAGCTGGAGCGCGATGCGCGCGCGCTCATGAACCTACACAACAACCGCGTCGGCCGCAAGGTGAGCGAGGTTTTGGATCCAAATGGCGTTCAGAATTGAACTGCAAGTTTCCATGCTGCTATTTTCACAGAGAGTAGTATGATCCTGTGTAGTACTACACAAGTGACCCATAACTGTTCAAGTAAATGCAACGGCAATAAAACAGAATATTGGGCAGCATTTAATAAGCGTTATAAACCACCATATAATCCAACTTTCAAGATTTTTCGAGTGGAGTGATACCAGGGAAGTGTGATACACAGAAAAACGGCGTTAACTAATTCTTTTGATGGTCATTTCGCTGCGACAAAACTTATTGGGACGAGAAAAGTCAATATTTTGCATTCTTTTAAATATCGTCGAACAAAGGAACCCTAAAGTGGGAAAATTATATTTCCAATTTGAAATCATCGTGTGGTAAATTTGTTAGAACATTGTCAATATTATTCTTAACGTTTTTGTACATGACCACCTTTTGAATCTTACGATTTTAAACTTTCATAAACTTAACGAACCTGCGATTCGTAAAGATGTACGAGTAGATAAAAAATTTGAAACAACAAATTTGTCAAATGTTCTCTAATTGTAATATAGCAATAAACTGACCCAATCCATAACGAAAACTATAGCTGGCCGCCATATTGTTTTACCATTTCTGCGTATATCTGGTGTTCCATCGACAGCGCGGCTCCGCAATTACAAGTGTTCTGTAGAGTGTAATGTGAGGTTATCGGCGCCTTCAGCGATACCAACATAACGAACCATCGTTTATACCATACATTGAATTAGTTACCGTACTTTTAACCACCACCTTCTTACCTCCAATTGGTTATCGGTTTTCATGTGCATCAGATAAGTGCTGCCGAAATGTTGATAGCATGTTCCATTTCATTGAATTGATTTCCAACCGAATGAATAAATTGTCTGTTACATATTGTGTTTGATGTTGGTAAAGACAATATACATGATTTTAATTTACTGGGGTCTGTACAAAAACGAAAAAAAAAGTTCTATTCTCCTCACTTACAATGTAGTAGTATTAATGGTAGTCGATTAAAATGTTCTCAATAGTGGAGGCGCTTGCCGAGTGGAGCGGTGCCATCAAATGCTATCCATGTTTGTATTCTTTTTTAGTAAAGACTCTGCATCACTATGTGGTACTGTTTTGTTACTTCTAGTGGTCATGATTATAATTAGTACCTAAACGATGTCATGAAAATCAGATCACCAACACCTCACTGTCGATTACTTACAATGGAACGTAACCAGGAGGAACCTGTTAGAAAGAACTAAAAGAGAGACCAGACTAAGCAGGTTTAGGAGTGTCTCTACGTGCCCGTATCAGTTGTTTGCACAACAGTCTTGATAATTATATGTACACCGTATCCTATTCAATATACACTCGTAATATTTTATCAGTACAGACCCACTCTATAGGACTGTAATGTCTAAAATGAGTAAATAATTTCGACATATTAATCGAAGTTTTCATAATAAGTTTTAAAAAATGTACCGTAACCTTTTTTACCAAATGAAGGTCAGGCAAGTGAAGGAAATAAAGAAAGACATTTATTCGTTTGCGCCAAGTAATACGTCTAATAATCAGCCAGCTGCCAATTTTTGCGGCAAGACAAACGCATAGCATCAGGCTCGTCGGGACTTGAATTTACCTTAAATCTATACCATTCATTACGTTTTATACGTATAATGAACCAGTATGAAAATAAGCTAGAGACTGATAACACACCGTAGTTATAGCCCCTCACTGAGAACGTCCGTTAATGACCAAACAATAACGTGTAATTTGTGCGCCGGCGCATAGCGCTCGATTACCGGCGCTAATAGCTGCAGTAGTCCGTGAGATCTCATCGCGCACTCTCATTACCTGCACATTTATGTTTACGACTCACTGGGCTTTGGGGCGGTCTCACCCCCGGAGCGAGTTACTCTTTTATTTCATCTTCGGGGCTGCTGTTCAATATCCTTAAAAGTAGAAGATTGAAACACATTTCTTGTTCAAGAACTCTTATGTACGATTTGAGCAAAAGTAATGCGCGAGCACAGCCAACAAGTGATGGTGGAGACAGACCCTCTTACCGACCAATAACTTGTACAAAATATTTATTCATTAGGGATGACTTCGATCCATGTATTCTAAAAAAGAATGATTTTAATTACACAAAAAACATTCGCACGTCACGTCTTACGTTTTCGTGGTACGCGATATGACCTACGACCATACTTTAATTTGAAAAAGAAATTTCTGACAATCACAACGATTTACAGAAATAAAATAATGATATTGCAATAATACTCCACGGGGGGGGAGGGTAATGTCGTTTTTTGTAAAAGCTGATCAATCTGTTGCCTACTATTTAAACAATGGGCATTCTGGCGGGGTGATGCCACGGTCTCGCAGAAAATCAGTGATAAGGTCATCGGAAGGCCATTCCTCCTCCCATTAGTATAAGGGGAGGGGGGTGTTCAATGGGCGACATTGCACTTGAACTGCTTGAAATACTCGTGACCATAGGTAGTGGTAGTCACATATCATCGTATAATATGAAAACATCACAAACCAATATAATAAATTAGCTAATATATCAGTAATAAACAAGTAATGAAGATGTTTAAGTACTGATGTCTGCGGGCAGGTGGTGAAAGAGCTGGTTCGGCGCGAGTGCAAGTGCCACGGCGTGTCGGGCTCGTGTGCGGTGCGCACGTGCTGGCGCGCGCTGCCGCAGTTCCGCGCCGTCGCCGCGCTGCTGCGCGACAAGTACGACCGCCCCAAGCAGGTCACGCTGCAGGCGCGCCGACTCATGGTGATCCTCACTCACGCTGTGTACTCCGTCCCCGGGCGACATGGACAGGATTTAGTGGTTCAGGAACCAGTGGTTGTGGAAACAAGACTACACGGATGTCGTACTCGTTTAAGCGGACACCTTGCCGCTTCTTACTGCTCTGAGTGTTGTGGGTTCGATCCCCACATGGGACAACATTTTGTGTGATCCACTTCTTCCTTGCCACATAAATAATCTTTAAATAGTAATCATAATGAAATGAAGATTGAATAGTTAATTCTCTTTACCGTGAAACTATGACATATGCAATCGTTAGACCGAGGTGACGTTGGAAATGTTTTGTCCCAAGGTGGTTCGGCGGCACAAGCACGGCTCCGTGACAACGAGGCAGCCGAGGAAAGCGGACCTCGTGTACCTGGAGGTGTCGCCCTCGTACTGCGAGCCAGACGCGGCGGCCGGCTCGCTCGGGACACATCACAGACATTGCAACAGGACCTCCAGAGGTAACCAATATGTACAGTTATCACAGTAGTATCCGCTGAAATACTAACATAGTTGCACTTAAAATGGCAGGTATTTTCACTTTACATAGTTAATCTGCATATTAAATAAGACAACTCCCGCACTAGGAACATATCCTGTGTCGCGGGGTCGTTACAAACATATATGACTCCCAGACTCAGAAGAACAATCTCTGGATAATACAAAGTGTTGTCCCACGTGGGGATCGAACCCACAACACTCAGCGCAGTAGGAAGCGGAGAGATGACCGCTTAAACCACTACGCCATTCGTGCAGACTGATACGTATGTACTGATGCAGACAATAATTATTTATTTGTTATCTACGAGGTGAATAACTACAGTATCATTATTTTTACTTTGATTGAATAAATTGAATAACAAGGTATGTGATGTGAGGTTCCAGCTGTTTTCGAATCTGTCTGTTGTAACACATTGATCTGGTGCTGCGTGCAGGTGAGGACGGCTGCGAGTCGATGTGTTGCGGGCGCGGGTACAGCACGGTGCGGCGCGTGCTCGAGACAAAGTGCCGCTGCCGCTTCCACTGGTGCTGCCGGGTCACCTGCGACACCTGCGTCGCGCGCACGGAGTCGCACGTCTGCAACTGACCTTCACCGACCCGCCGACGACGACGCCGTATGAGAAGCCGAGTGCTGTGAGACGAGACAGTTTCATAAACTTTCATCATGTCAATTAAGCTTAGGCGAAAGAGCTACAATTACGTACCACCACTCACAAATCACGGACTCAACTTTCGCCCACAGTTGGTACATCGTTGGACGCAAGAAAAGGCTCGTTAACAACTAACATGTGATAAGATGTGACAAAGGAACTCAGTGCCACGTGAGTGAAGACAATCTCTCCAAATGTGAATAACCTGGTGCATGAACTATGTACCTATGTAAAAGGACTACTACTTACATTTATAAGATTATTAAATAAAAAGTCGACTTTTCAACTTGCCTTTGTACTTATAACTTGTGATTGTAATAAATTAACAACTGCATTGCACTTATTGTTTCTTGTAATATGTATCGGACATTACAGTCAGCCCTAATAGTTATGCTTACTGCGACCAAACGTTTCATTCTACTTTATTTACGAGTTAACAAATAAAACTGTTTGATTACTCTGAGGCCTACAAGCGCTATTTTTTTTTTAACTGATAAACTATATAATTGTGGTGTGTGAAGAAATAACTAACGATATTTGCTGTATTCAAAGTACTGTTAAAATAAACCGCCTTATTTAGTAGCGTGGGTGAAATATCGTTTTTTTAACTCTTAATGTTTCTGCGTCATTGTTCGCCGACGTATATATGAACGAGATTGTATCTCTCGTTGGTTACTGTCATAAAATATGTTGTTGCCAACATAACGTGAAAATAAGGAAAAGGATGAATCACTCTGTTACATGTCGCTCCGCGTTGTCAGCGACTGACTCTTCAGTGTCGAGGAGTGTAGTTGACTAACAGCACTTAGACTTGTTGTGCAATTGTTGAATGTGTGTGTAAATATGTTACTATGTACTGCTATTGTACATTTACTGTAAGTATTGACGGCTTTAATGAGTGTTAGAATTACGTGTTTTGTATTGTTTGTAAGTGTCGGCCGGCGCACGGCCACCTATGACGTTCAAAGGACGTTACGTCAGTGTTGCAGATGTCCGTGCGGCACCAGCACTGAGTAGTGTAGGCGCACATTCCGGTTAGACGTTATTTAACTTATTCACTACGCGACGAACAACAATAAACGATTTTACGACATATCCATTTGTATTATTTCCTCCAATACAAACCACAAGAGGTGGGTACAGGCGTATTAAACGCTCATGTTTCGGAAACTATAATTTACCCGACTGAGAATAAGTAAAAAGGAAAAAACAATGAATAGGAAAGGATTATTATGTTAATGGGTACTGATTGGCGAGTAAAAAATTTGTTGGGGTTTTCAGAGGGTGTAAATCGACGGATTCACGACGTTACCGATCGCGCTTATGGCAACATGTATGACAGAACTGAAAGACACAGTGAGGCACAAGCAGTAACAGTCCAAACATTCAGTCATACTTGAGCGACTTTCATAGTATTCATTGTACTTACATCACCGTCGATGTCGATGAAGGTGCCTAGAGTTGACCTTTTAGATTCATTTTTATAATACAACTCGATGTAGAGCAGATTCCATTGATTTACACATCGAGTGGCCGTGTTGATTGCGGTACAAGGGGTGTTTGACTAATGCGGTACTCCTGATTTCCCTATCTATTAGTCTTTCCAGAACATTTATTATAAAAGATGTGGGACTGATAGGCTTAACATTGGTTGTCTGCGAGGCCGTGGTATCATTCGGCCCATTTGTGCCGCAGCATGGCTCCCCCATGTAAAATGTATTTTTTTAAAAATTGCCTCCTGAATCTAAACTCTAATCTGCATTCTCTATCGCATATATCATGAAGAGTGCTCCGAGGAATTGTTTGGACTAATACCAGCCGCAGCTTTCTGCCATCGTTCCACACGGCAAAATTTTCATCCTCTTTACCTGGATAGTAGGTGCTCCACTACTGTGCGCTTTTAGAGACACTTTTTGCCCTGCACTACCAATCTGAGGAACGAGTTATCGTCTGCGGTATTGCCGGACCTATGCGACCTTCAAACCTTCAAGAAAAGAGCGTGCTCCTTCCTAAAAGGCCGGCAACGCGTTTGTGACTCCGGAGTTGCAGACGTTCATGGGCGGCGATAGTCACTTTCATCAGGTGACTCGTCTGCTCGTCTGCCCCCTCTAACACACAAAAAAGAAAAAAAAACTAGGTATGAATGACCAGGAATTTTGGAGGTCCATACACTTCAATACTAAGAACATAAATTTAGATGTGAAACCAAACCAAATTACACCACAAATAGTTAGATAATCCATGAATAGTAAAATTACCCATTCGGCCATGCCTGCTACATTGCCCACACGTGCGTTATCATGGCCTAGTGCTAGCATATGACTATAAATTAATGGTCCACTAGGGCAAACATCGTTTGTAAGCAGCGTCGGAGTTCGCAGCACACGAAACCCGACGTGCGATCTGATACCGGCTATAACTCTCTGAAACAGCGATTTCATGCAAATATCGCCGTTTACAATGATTCATGTGACACGCACTGTGCTTAGCACAATCTGTCGCCCCGTAAACTATTTATTCACTCATTACTCATGTTGTGATGGTCGAATACATACCTACAGATGGGTTCGGCTTTTTGGCAGCTTTTGCTAACTAGTGGACAGTAGTGTCAATTACGATTGCAAAACTTTATCACAAAACTATGCCATTTGAACCTCATACTAGACATGGACTATGTGCCTAGTTTGAATGAGCCTAAACAAGCTTAGTTCCTGATGAAAGCGATTCCGTCGTATCTAACCGCACCAATATTCTCAGGAAAGTCTAAATGTGAATGTAGTCAATTGAACTTTAAGCCTAACAAAATTAAATCGTTAAATGTTAATAATAATAATAAATGATGTTTTTAAAAGTTCAAAAGATTAAAGTTCACAACTCGTTTGTTTTGACCGTAGACATAGAGAATGGACTGCGCGATTCATATTCAGTTGTGCAGTGAATACAGACTGAAAAATTCGAGAGAGACAAAGCGAATGTGCGGCCAGTAGTTGTGTCTTTCTAGTATTCAGATTGATTCACGTCACTAGGTAAGTTTACAAATAAGTAAGGTAATATCAAGTATACAGGGTTACTGGGTAAGTCGATCTAAATACTTTAAGAGGTTGTAGTTGCCATTATTTCTAATAGATTTCACTATCAAATACCATAATATTCCAAACCTAATCATTTTCAAGATATTGGACTTTTAGGATTTTCAAAAAAAAACGAATTTTCGACTTATATTTTTTTTTGAACTTGCATCCCTTATTTTATGCTTTTTTGACTGTTTTTGTGTAGTTGATACATTGTTTTATAATTTGCATAACTAAAGTTGTAGTTAACTTACCAAACTGGGCCAAAGTAGATAGGTAATAGTAGCAAAAAGAAATAAAATTGTATTTTTTTTTTAATCTATTAAACTGCAGATTGGTTAAAAAACATGTGTCAACGTAACAAATCAGAATATCAGCATACTCGTATTCCTCGCTCGTGTAGGTCAGCATCTCCAACAGTATAGCACAGGTCAAAGTCCAGCTGACAATAGTCAGTTACGAATAGAAAACGAAAGAATCCAAAAATACAAGCCAAGTTTTCAACTAGGTACTACAGAGTTATCCGCTAATTCTTAATACTCCTGGTCTTTCATCTAAGTGTTCTTCTATGAATTTTGTAACTATCCTAAGACTATTATACCTTGTTAGATATCCGATAATACGTACATGTTTTTTAAGATGTTTTTTTAATATACTTCAAAGTCATATCGAGCGAAGCCCAGTTTCGGGGTTTACGTAAAGGGTAAGGTCGAATTGGCCTCGAGAAGCTCGGTGAACTGAACAGGTCGGGGGAGTATTTCACTCCGGCCCACCGCCTTCAACTCTATAAGGCGCAAGTCCGGCCGCATATGAAATACTGTTCTCATCACTATGCAGGTGGCACCTCATTACCAGCTTCTCCCTCTGGACAGCGTCCTACGAAGAGCGACTCGAAACGTCTATAGCCCAAACATCTCCGATCGGCTCGATCCCTTGGCGTTACGTAGAGATGTGGCTTCACTCTGCATTCTCTATCGCATATTTCATAGAGAGTGCTCCGAGGAATTGTTCGGACTAATACCAGCCGCAACTTGCCGACCGATACGACCTTCAAGAAAAGAGCATACTCCTTCCGTCACTTTCCATCAGGTGACCTGCTCGTCTGCCGCCTCTTACATTAAAAAAGTCATTTTTATTATTATTAGTTTTTGCCATTATTAACCATCTACTTAGGCCCAGTTTGATAAGTTAACTACAACTTTAGTAATGGAAATTATAAAATAATGTATCAACTTGTTCAGTTAAAAAAAAAATTCTTCAAATTATTTAGCTAGTATTATGGTAACACGACCCATGTTCCACATACAACGCCATCTTTAATCGCAAAAGGTGTTTATTAGAAAACTCATTACACTATTCACTATCAGATGGCAGTAGAAAAAAAACGTTCCGTTTTAGGTAAATTTTGCAACCCAACTAAAAAAGATTAACCCATAAACGAAACGCACATTTATACTAAAATTAAACTAAAATCTTAGAATAAACTTTACTTAAATTCCAATAAATTGCACTTATAATATATAATATAATATATATAATATACCTCACACATCTCACACACGGCCGTCTGATCCCAAACTAGGCAGAGCCTGTGCTATGGTAACCACACTGCTGATAAACATACTTATATATTTTTAAATACATACATATTATAGATAATAATCACTTTCAAGCATTAGTTTGAATATTAAAAATATTAGACTACCTGGCAAGCCAAAGTTTTCTGCCTAATACGAAATGAATTTCAGCTCGTGTTGCCAACCTAGTGAACTTTCCAATAAGACTGGTGGTTTCGGCCAGGTTATAGAGGACTTAGCAAAAGCTGTTGAAAGAAGAACTGTGAGAACTAGAATACCTCAAGAAAGTTTGATAAGAAAGGAAGAATAGGGATTGCATAGAAATGCTCAGGAAGAGAAGGATTATTAATTTTAGGCAATGGTATGATGTGGGTTTTGTGCCAGGGGGAGGAAAATGTTTTGGAGTCAAAAGAAGTCAATAATATCGACTATAACTTCGAGGACGTAATCCAGGATCTTAACTATCATTTCTAAAGCAGACTGACAGGATGATCTTTCTGATGTCCCCAGAAGGCACAGCAGAAAATTGTAAGTAGAAAATATTGGGTCTGGGCGGATTAACGTTATAATTAAGGGACTGACTCTGTTTAATGATCCAGTTAAGCAGTAGAAGAGAAATAAAGATTTATATCATTTAAAACAATGAAACTCAGACCGTTGTTGTAGTCTGCCAGTGTCCAACTTGTTTAGGTACTGCCACATACTAGAGATATTGCTCTTTAAAGATCTCCAAGGAGCCAAGGGAAACATGATTGCCGCCATGGAACATGATTGCGCCGTGGTACGGAGCGTGTTCGAGTGCGTGGAACTCCACCGTCTCCTGCGAGCAAGTTATGCTTGCGAAGGAGATGGCAGAGGGGGACGGAAGAGGTTTATAATTCTCCCTCTGTCGTACTGCAGACGACTCAGGTGTCGGAGGTCGCCGAACGACCTCCGTTCTCAATAAGCGCAGGCCTGGGGGTAACAGGTGAGGCCATCTCCAGCCAGCTTCTGCTAGGGTGACCCTATCAAAAGCAGGCTGGGGTGGAGAGCGCGCCTTTTTGGGAGTACAAAAGGAACATGGGGGCTCCTACACAGGAGATTTACGGAGGAGGAGGAAATTTAATAAAGACAACTAGTTATTAATATACTTATGGTTTTCTCTCGTAATTACTAAAAAAAATGTTCTGGAAAATTTAGTACCTACTAGAGTAGGGTCGTTTTTCGTCAGTGGTTTTCTGGTGGTTTAAGATGTTGAATCTGGTTTAGAGTTCATTTAACTGTTGGCAACACTGATTTCAACTGTCATTGTCGTATTATGTGTTTGTTGACTTTGTTGTGATTCGATAGAGGATTTGAATCTGCTACCAATGTGTTTCTAATATTATAATAGTACAGTAGTTCTCAGCAAAAAAACAATGCCAAAACCTACATGTGTTCAATGTAGCTCTGACGACTCTTTACTGTGGCGAAGTGCCGAAAACGGACAGATATGCAACGAGTGTCACTTAGCGAACACTGCCAGCAAAGAAGCCAAAGGAACCGATACTTCCTTGAAATCAGAACAAGAGGACAAGCGAGATGATAAAGATGATGATAGTAAAAATGGCAAAAGTGAAGGTGAATCCACGCCTGCAAAAGCTACGGGCAAAGGAACTAGAAAAAGTACGCGTTCAACGCGTTATAAAACTAAGACGCCTGCGCCTGCTTCTGCCAAGAACGCGGCGCCCCGCGGTCGCGGCCGCCGCAGCATGTTCAAGCGGCAGCCGCTCCGGGCGCCCACCGCCACTGCCACCGTAGTCACCAGCGAGTCCATCTTTTACAAGGGCAACTACATGCAGGTGCCTGTCACATCTTTACAATCTTTCCTACATATCTTATTATATATTTGTGTATATAATTACTGTTTCACAGTTATTTTTATTAACATATGTGTTTCAATTTATATTACAATGTGATGGTGAGATTGATCGAACTGTACAGCATTGAATCAATATGGGATGGATGAAGTGGAGGCAGGTAATGGGAACAAATTATGACCCCAGTTTCCTCTTAACACTGAAGGGACAAATTTATAAAACTATCATCAGACCTGCCGTTCTGTATGGTTCTGAAAGATGGCCCCTTAAGAAAATTAATGAGAGACGCCTGAACGTAGCCGAAATACATGTGTGGTGTGACTCAGATAGACAAAGTTAGGAATGAGTATATACGAGGGAGTCTGGAAGTAGCACCACTGGATGAAAAGTTAAGAAGTATAGGTAATCTTGGTATGGACATTAGGGTGTCCCGTCAATGTATGGGATTATTTTTTTTAAAGCGACGGCTACGCAAGAGGTATCAAAAGTTGCGTTTTTGTGGATAGATTACAAATATAACAAAATTTAATTAAATATTTGTCATCTTTAGGCCTCTACCGATCCTAGAAGTTTTCAAATTTTGCATTTTTAGAGGTTTCGAACATAAACTATAAATGATACAAAAATAATGTTTTAAAGGTTTTAATCAAATTTATAGGTACTACAAAGACATAAGGTAATGTTCAGTAAAGTTTAAATACTTATAATTAGTGCTTATTTCAAATACGAAATTGGTTCTTGTGGCCAAAATTAGGCATTTCCGCGCGAGATTGTGATCTGTTTCTGATTAAACCATCCCGAGCTGTAGCGTCCGTGACACTTAGAGAAGCCGCCGTCACTAGCTTTACACATCTTTCCACTGATTGTGTATGACAGGGGAAATCAATAACATCGAAGCTTTGTTCTTTAGCCTTAATTCTCAGTTCGTCGTCGGACATCTGTCGCAAAATCGGTGGAGCGGATATCTCACACTCTTGCCAAAATATCAAATCGATGTAATATCGCGCATCGAAGTTAAGTTTTGGTACTTTAAATACCCTGCGAGTATTGCTTATTTCTGCTTCTCTTGCCTTTAATATTTTGCGAGCTGCAAGCTCTCGAATATGCTGTCTGTCGTCGAATAGCATGGTAACAAGTAAGTTTTCAGGGTGAGCAAAAAAAGCGTTTCTCTCGATCACTGAATTCACAATAGATCTTTGCTTATCAGGCAAAAATCGGGAGTATGTAACCATTTGAAAAATATGATTGGCTCCATCTTTGAATGATGAGTTTTTCTTAATGAGGAACCAAACTGGAGCATAAACTTTGACCACATAATTGACAAGCAGCTTTAAATTATTTGATGGCGAAACAGTACTTACATAAAGTCTGAGTATGCGATTGGCAGTAGTTCATCAATCATCATCATCATCATCAACTAAGACTGCTGAAGCGACTGCAGCTGCCGAACGCGTTGATAGTCCGTATCGATCACATACCTTAGCTACTGTTGGCAGCGTCAGAGTGTTCCGACTAAATGAATTAGATGGAGACTCCTTTAAGTCACTTTTAGTAGAAGGTTCTATTGAAAGCGACTGTGAACGAGGCGGCAACACGCGTACCGGTACAGTATCGGTTTGTGAAGTACTCGGAAAACATGCTTGCTCTGTCCGCTTCAAATTTTCTTGTCTTTGATGTTTCTTTAAAAGCCTTGCAGTTTCTTTTGCGTCTACGCCGCTTATTGCCATTTTCCTATCATTTCTTTGGTCCAGTAAAAAATCTCTTTCAGAAATGGGAACTTTCTTGGGTTTAGTGCAGGAACAATTTTCAAACGAAGTGCACTTACAAGCAGCGATGTCAAAAAGCTTATATGACGATTCCAAAAAGCACTTAACTTTGTTGTCATAGCTATCGTTTCTCTTACTTTTAGGATATCTTATTAGTGATAAATATTTATTAAAATATGCGGTTAGCAGTTGAGTAACCCGTACGTTAGAAACGATGGGAATTGAAGCTTTGGTCCAAATTGTGTTAAGTTTTCCAGAAACTATTGAAAAGACTTCTGTGTTCGATGGATCTTTTCCGTTTTTCTGTAGTTTTAATTCACTTTTAGTAAATAAAATGCACTTAATAACGTCTTTTATAACAGGTAATTGGCGATCGTCAAGTTCTTTATAAGGTCCCAATATAGTACAAGTAGTCTCACTTCGCCTTGAACACATTTTTATGATTAAGTAACGCAAATTACGTTTTTCTTTCAAAGAAGAATAGAACAACTCCTTACAAGAGTAAAACCGAAATAGAAATGAGACGAACTGTCTTGTTGTAGAAAACTTTGACTTGATTTGACTTGATTTTCGTACGTGCGCTACGCACGTAAGAAAATCAAGTCAAAACATGAATTTTGTAGGAATTTTGCAAGTCCGATCCAAACCGATTGATCGCTAAAACAACCTGTCGATACTTGCAAATCATAGCCGAGGCTTTTCTTATTGATAAAATTACAAGACAAAACAGGATTGATTCATAAAACATAGAATATACGACATTGACTACAAGGTTGTCTTTGCGAATTTTCAGTAAATAAAAATGCTGGTAGAGCCGTAACGATATTTTTAAATATTTTTTGAATTATTTTTACGCTAATCTACGTCTAACAGCGCAACTTTTGAGAGGTCTTAAGTAGCTAAAATAAGAATAAAAAAAAATCGGGACACCCTAATGGACATGTCATGCGAAAGGATGAGGAAAATGTGGCAAAGAAAGTTTTAGGTATTCCCATACCTAAAACTATATACACACGTTGTAGAAGACCAAAGAAAAGGTGGATGAACTGTGTGAGTGAGGATATGGCTAGGAAGGGAGTAAATAGTGAAATAACGAATGATATAGTAGAAAGGAAGAATCATACTTACTGCACCAACCCCAAATAAAATTGGGATAAGGGTAGGCAGATGATGATGTCATCAGTATCTTTTCTTTATTTTGTTAATAAATTAAATGTTTTATTTTAAACTAATTAATCAAATCTTATTGTACATTATTATCCTACAGATTGGTGACATAGTATCAATGACAGACATAGATGGAGGCACATACTATGCACAAATCCGAGGCTTCATGACTGATCAGTATTGTGAAAAGAGTGCAGTTATTACTTGGCTTCTGCCAACAAAAGCCAGTCCACCGCCAGAAAAGTGTTTTGACCCTGCTACCTACATCATTGGTAACCATCATTGCATATCATGATTTTTCTGTCACGGGGGAGATTAATAGATCCTAGATATTGTTCTGGTCCTAGAGGATTACATTGTATCATACTCAGTCTAATCTCTTTGTACTGAAAGGGCTTTTTATTATACACTAGCAGTTGCCCACGACTTTGTGTGAATTTCGAACGGCAAAAAGTTCTCATGTATTTATCTATAATTCTATTTAATTTAATAGACAATAAAAATTAGAAGGTGGCTGAAATAAGTTATTATTCAATTAGCACGCACACAGACAAAAATTCTAAAAACTGTTGTTTTAAGTTCTGTTACTTTATTAAAAAAAGACACTCCTATATTAGTTTTTCTTCAATATATTTATTTTATTATATGTATTAATTATTTTATGGATATTTTAAAAGACAACTTTTGCACTAGGAAATATCCTGTGTCTCAGGAGACTTTATAAACACTTATGTAATGGACACAAAGACCACCCAGACTCTAGAAGAACAATTTGTGGATCACACTTTTCATTATTTTATCACTCAACTATTCCTTTTAAACAATGTTTCTATTGACACTGTTGCATTGGTGTTTTGCATATTTAATATCTGCCAATAAATGACTACTGTACTTTTATAACCCAACAACTTTGTCCACAGGTCCAGAAGAGGACCTTCCTCGTAAGCTGGATGTAATGGAGTTTGTGATGCATGCCCCCTCTGACTATTACAAAGCAAGCAACAGTCCATATCCCCTCACTGACAATGAGGTATATGACTACTCAGGGTATGTGTGGACCTCACTGGAACCCAAGGAAAAAGTTTAGACTAGTACCTGTTGTATAGCATTAAATGTAATTATTTAATTTTGTAAACATGTTGCATATTATTTCATTTACCCAAAAGTAGTTTGTAAGTACCATCGAAGTTCATTGGCATTTATACTGTTAACAGTTCAACTTTCCTTCTTAAGAAGGAACCTCTTGAACGTTGCACTTTAAACTACCACATATCATCATCATCATCATCATAAACAGCCTTTAACAGTCCACTGCTGGACATAGGCCTCTCCTTAGAAAGGAGGTTTTGGCCTACTATACCACGCTGGCCAGACGGGTTGGTATAGGGTTTGTGTCAAGTTTTCCTTCTCTATGCAGTGCTGGTGTCCTGCGTATTTCGCTCCCTTAGTCGCCTCTTACGACACCCACGGGATGAATAGGGGTGGTGACACTCTGTATTCTTAATCCGTCACCACACGGAAACTACCACATATGATACAATACATACAATATGTTGGTCATTACCGACCCGTCATTACATACCCGGTTTGGGCCGCACATACACATTTCAGAAGTCTGTCTGTAAATATCTGCCACGAATGTCGACTATCAAATCCATCATCACAAAGGTAAAAAAATTATGAAATCAAGTTAAAAAAAAAGCACGCTATACATAATGACCTCGTTTTCGTTCGTTGCAGTTAAGGTTTAAATATCATGTCGTATAGTATATTACTGTTTCAAAGAAAATGTGGGGTTTTAAGGAAAAAATAACCACATTTTACGCTTTAATATTGATCTGAATCCACTATGTTTGTGTTGTATTGATCTTGATCCATACTTTATAGTGTTTTGTCTATGATCCATACGTACATCGTCCCTATCCATGGTCATTAGACGATAACGTGACGTATAATTTCATTAAATGTCATCACAAGTGTCAAAATTCAGATAAATTAGAGATGCACGATTGTATAAAAAGTATCGTTGTATCAACATTATTGATTCATTTTAAGAATTCGTAGAAATAAAACAATAGGCAAAATTACACATTCTCCGAAATGCGTTTAACTCCTTCAGTTAATAAAATAAATCAAATTACCGATACCAATAATTTTCCAGGTTTGAATAACTATTTATAATAATTTTACAGATAGAAGAACTATAGTCCATCTGATCTAAGAGATACCGTTTGACGTTTCATACTTATCAATTTTCAAGACGAAACAACTTTGTTTAGGCGTGACTTACATAATTTCAATGACCTTTACCGTAAAACCATGGGGTTATGTAGCTATTTTTATTTTGTGTCACGATATAATTCTTCATTACCAAATTTAAAACTTTGAAACATAGCAAAATAACCAATTTATACAGAATACCTAATTTTTTTTAACTTCATTTCAAAGTCACGTAGTTAGGTGCTTTACCGTAGAGTTGCGGCTCCTCAAATTCACTTGAATTCGAATAATCGTTAAAATGTAAGAAAAAAATAATTATTAATAACGAGTAATTTTCAGTCTAGTCGTCCTAAAATGTTTAATAATCCTTGAACTTCATCTGAATACAAATCTTAACGAAAACGCATAATTAAAATTAAAATCCCCAAATTAAAGTCTGATCCCAAACTAGGCAGAGCCTGTACTATGGTAACCAGACTGCTAATAAACAAACTTATACATTTCTAAATGCGTACATATTATAGATAAAGGGCACTCACTCAATTATTTGTTCTGGGTGGAAATCGAACCTACGACCTCTGGCGTAGCAGTCAGGATCACTAACCACTAGACCAACAGGCCCTTTACTTACTTTACGATGATATTTTTTTTCAAAAGGTTTACGGTGATCCTATAATTAGTTCGGATCTGGATACAAGCTCTGCTTAGTTTGGGACAATATCGCGTTGTGTGAATGTGGTAGAATATTATTATATTTTTATTCTCTTTATTACATTATATATACATATTCATTACGTTTTTCAATATATTACAAAAGAAAAAAACAATTAAAAATATAAAAAATAGTAGACCACCGACACCGGGTACAGGGACCAAGACACCGGTTGTTAGGGCTTCAAAGACAGGAACCTCCTCACCATACGAGCCGTGTCAAGGAGAACTGCCTTCTGCATCAGACCCTTGATCCAGGCGTCTAATTTGAACCTCTTAAGGTGTTGGTCGAGGCTCTTGGCTATCAATCCGTGAGCAGATACGACTATCAGAACAATGAATACTGAATCGCCATTCCACATATCGACCATCTCGTGAGATAAATCCAAATAATTTCACAATATTCTCGTCATGAGGAACGGCGATATCACAGTTTCGTATCTCAGTTTTTACAGAAACTTCAGGATGTAACCATACATATTTTTTCTTAATTTTAAGCCAAAGCCAAATTTCGGCTTGATGGCTCAAGCTGAAGTTTGGCTTTGGCGACCATCACTTTCCCTCATTTTTATGTCTCTGGGGCCTCCACTCTATGTAAATTAATGTAATTTTAAATAAATCTTTGTTGGTAAAAATCGCTCGTGTCCAAGTTTAGTGTATACTAAGATTTACTATTAAAACCTATGATGTGCCATTACACGGGCTTTTACATTAACATACATAAATCAGGAAAACTGTAATCGATTAGTATATACTAAGAAATGAAATCGAAATCTCTTCAAAATCAGATATATTAGTATTCGACTTCTTTGACCCCATCGTTAAACTTCAATCTGTCAGAACTGACAAACGGTACCTCTTAGATTAGATGGACTATGGACATTGTAATGATTAATTCCAGTTCAAAGAACTTAACAGAAGAAATACCTACAGTGTGACCTACCAAATTGTCTTAATCAAAACCAAAAAAAATTGAACTATCTGCTTACTCGTGTCGGGGAAATATGTCTTTAACACACAAAAAAATGTTGGGCACCAAAATTAATTTTAGTACCCATATTCTCACTCTGAAAATGATATATATTTTTAAGCATTATGTAAGGATATCATTACTTTTTTCCATTTACTTATACTTCCTGCACATACATACATTGCATAAGCGGACTTAATGCCATAGGATTTTTTTCAGACAAATAATTGTATTTTCAGTTTGTCTAGAAATTTACTACACATCTTTTTAATTTGATTTCAGAATATATCTTGTTTACATCATGTTGGACTCAAAATGAATTAATGTTTTAATTAAATACATAAAATTAAGTTAATTCGATTTCGTATCTATCGAATAGAGATGGGCACCCTTATTTCTTTATTTAAAGTGAATGGTTTGTCAAAGTCAAAACTGACATTCGATTAGTAAACAGTAACAAATACTTGAACACGTTGAATAAATATTTTAAACTAAGCTAAAGTTTATTTAGTACAGAAATGAGTCGCAAAGAAGCTCTGTCATCCTTTATCCAGCAGATACACGGCCGCCCGGTCGTGGTCAAATTGAACAGCGGCGTTGATTACAGAGGTTAGTGGCGAGTTGCCGACCCGCGGTTATTTACTTTACCTTGAATCACTTGGCTTGATGGGCATGACATAACTTTATGTTTACAATGATGTTTAAACGTTTAACATTCATCGGTTATCGCTATTGTTTACTTTTATTGCCATCATAACCTTTAATTGTGGATGTTTTGTTTTGGTCTCGATAGACTTCATATGGTCTTCCTTATTCTGATGAAATTACTGCACTAGTCAGTACGCTGTTTGCGGTTTTCACAATTTATTTAGTGAAAATCTAAGAACTCACTTCAACAACAATTAATCACTAGTTATTCAAGTACAATATGGAGATTAGGCCTGCAGTTGCCCCATAATAATCTTCCCTGTTGTATATATGTACCTATGGAAAGTATGTACCTCTGTTATAGATTCAGCTATATATTTGTACAATATTTTTTTCAGGAGTGCTGGCATGCCTGGATGGCTACATGAACATAGCCCTAGAACAAACAGAAGAGTATGTGAACGGTCAGCTGAAGAACAAGTATGGTGACGCATTCATCCGTGGCAACAATGTTCTATACATCAGCACCCAGAAGCGAAGGATATAACAGTTGTACATACATACATATATGTGATAAGATAGGATTAAGGATTAATTAAAACATATTCATACATAAGTACACTATACATATATTTCCCTGCACCGTTGTAACCCTTGTTGTCTTCGGTCAAGTGTAGTACAACTTCACATCTCCATATTCCTGAAAACAAACAGTGTGGTACAGGATTTTAACTGGTTTAATGGCCAGTCTTCTTCCATTAAAACTTCTTCAATTAAAACATGACATTCACAAGGAGATTTGACTCATGTCAAATCTCCTTGTGAATGTCATGTTTTTTCAAACTGTTGGTTGTAATGAAGAAGGTAAAATTAAAGTTAATGGAAAGGGCAAAAGAACTAGGTAGGGTAAGTTATACTGCAAATATTGGGAATGTAATTCAAATTAAATTGTCAAACATTTTTGTAGAGAACATTTGTACTTTTGTAATTGTGGCAATTCCAAACTGATTACACTGTAGTGATATGTGTTGTGTAGGAGTGACAAGCTCACTAGTGAGCTGGTTTTCTCGCACTATCCTTGTCACTAGAGCATCACAACCAAGAAACCAAATAGTAGTAAATTATGCTAATCATTTAGTCACAGCTTAATATGTATGTTCACATGTGTTACAAGTAAATTCTTTAATTCAAACATCTTTAAAAAAAATGATCTTAGCTTGATATGGTTTTCAATTCGTTTTAATACTAAAAAATAAACAAAACAGTTTCTTTATAAACAAAAAACGAATTTACGAAAGTGAACAAGGTCCAGCTTTGCCTGTGTATAAATCCTTCATAACATCACCATACCTTTTATTTAAAAGTAAGTACTTGCAAAATATAAATAACATTACTATGAGGTAGCCAGTTTGTATCTTTGTCAAATCCCACTTTTCTGTCTATACTTTTATCCAACACACTTATGTAACACTTTATTCTTTTATCATATAAGTATAAATAATTTTACACACAAAGAGAATTACAAACAAACTAATTCTATATCAATAGAAAGAATTGCCTACACTCACTACACACTTGTTACGATGCCTACCCACGCCTACTAATCTAATCTAATGTGAAGAATTTTTACCTGCTGCTCATTATTGCTGTTCCTAGGACCTTTGCCGTTGCCTAAATCGGCAATAAATTTCTCCCCTCTGTAGCCATACTCTTTTGCGTATCGTTGGCGAGCAAATGTCCCCGCGCTTGGCTCAAAAGGTACCTCCACTCGATAGTTGAGGATCCTTCGGTCGAACAGAGGTGCCCAGAAACTAGAGTAAATGAGCGCGCACTCACTACACGCGAACACGGTTAGCAGCAGTACGAACGGTTTACATAGCATGGTTCATATAGCGCCGTACACTTGATACTGGCGCGTGGTGCGAGTGATGCGCTCGAAGCACGCCATCCATAAACACGAGTGCTTAGGAGCGGTCTCACAATGTACTTTGTGCTCAAACAAATATCTTTGTTTGGTGAGTTAACTTCGTTCAAGGATGTGGGGTGATGTGATCTAATGCGATATTACTACCTGTTTGATAGTCATCTTTGTCTTGTTTGGATCTGTTTAGTACCTACTCTGAAGGTTAGTGTAAGGCAATAATAACCTGTGTAATCCCGTGGTTCTGGGTTTGATGACCCGGGAATTCTTACAAGATATTTCACTTAATATGATTTTATTGACAGCGGAAGTCTGGAAAAGAGTTTTAATTATAGTTGGCGAATAGCGGTTGTAATAAATAGTTGTAGGACCGGGAGACATACAGGGGAGTTTTTCTAGGGTACACCTGGTTCCCCGACTACTGGTACCTAAGACGGCGTGCGGTTTTAGTCGGTTCGAGTTCGACATTGCCACCGGTAAGTGGTATCCGGGGGGATTTTCGCACGGGAAAAAAAAAGAAAAAAAGGGGGAGTTAAAGTATAAAAGAGAAAAAAATAAAGGAGAAAAAGCCAAACTTTGACAAACAACATTTGACACAGATTTGTATGGTAGATTTAATCAGCAATCCTTAACATAATGATCGTCGTCATCTGCCAGCCCTTTTGGCGATATTATTAATTAAGGGTTGACGCAACTTGAACATTGCAAAGAGTCTGTTTAAGCCTGACCACCTGTGTGATGACCACCCTCCTGGGCTTGGTACATAAGTACCTAACCCATCTTCACCAACATATTTCAACTCCTTTATCCAAATTTTATGTAGACAATTACTACAGAAACGGCCCTCTAATAACCTTCTTCTCCTTCCTGGTCCCTCCCATACGTCTGAGTTTGTTGGCTCATCCTTTGTTGTTGAGTTCTTTGAAATGAGCCTCGAAATCAGGATCTTGCAAAACAACTGGCAGACAACAGACACATGATTGTCATCTAATATTATTATTGTTGCGCCATAGGATTAAGTACACTTTTACTAGACAACTTTTTTTTATTACATAGCCCGTTCGTAACAGTATCTAGTTGTGTGTGTGTAAGTTTTTATGTATTTAGTTTATGGATAATGTTTATAGGTTCTAGTGTATGATATAATAATAATATTTTCACACACGGCCGTCTGATCCCAAACTAGGCAGAGCCTGTACTATGGTAACCAGACTGGTGATTAACATACCTACTTATATATTCCTTAGTACATACATATTATAAAATAAAGTACACCCAGGCACAGAACAAATGAACGTGCTCTAATATATGTTTCTATATTATGTGTATTTGATATATTATTTAGTTTGTTTATTCCAATACCAATTTCACCCAAAATGAACCTACTTCCTGTTTTCTCTGACTCACTTATACGCTTTCTATTGTCCGACGCTTCCGAGTTTTAGCTGCCTCCAAGCATACAATACTTATGTTAAGTTGTCACAAGAGTTGATTGACGCGTATTGACGATCGTTTTACTACTATTACTACTAATTAAAATAATATCTATTAATTTACATTGCATTAGCAATGGCACATGGTTCCACTTGAATCATTATTTAACGAACAAAATTAAACGATACATTTAAATTAATTTATTATACAAATGAAATTAAAAATGTCTACTTATTGCTAATGTATATAGGTATGTACAGATATTTCCCCCATTATACCTAATAATATAATGACATAATAGCGAGATTATGCTTCAGTAGATGCCCTCTAGCGGCGAGTAGCTCTTGTACTGGTACAGCTCGGGCCCGCCGTACCCGTACAGCAACTTGCCCTTGCCGTTCTCGTCGTAGTACGGGTAACGGTAGTTCGGCCTGCAACGTCATAACGTAACATTCTGTTTTACTTGACATTAAACAACACAACAAAGTTTTAGACTAAAACCACATTTTGAAATAACTTATAGAAACAAATGTAAATAACCTTTCGAAGTACTGGAAGTTGGGCGCCCTGGGCTGCGGTATGCTGGAGTCTGCCGACAAACACATGGACATCACCACTGCTACCTGAAATACGTCCGATTTGTGTATTTTATTTGTCTTTAATTTTGTATGTGAGGAGCGAACAGAATAGTGCTTCAGTACCTCGCCTAACTTACTGAACATACATTTTTACTTAATGCATATTGCTGATGATATAGTTGTCATGGCTGAAACCATAGAAGACCTTAGCACAACGCTCGATGAACTTAGTAGGGTATCTAAACGAGTTTGACTTAAAATGAACATGAATTAGACGAAAATGATGTAGAACGCCCATGTCGCACCCACTCCAGTGAAAATTGGAGACTACGCTCGAGGTTGTTGACGACTACGTGTACCTGGGACAAACTATCCAAGTATCCAGTTAGGTAGGACCAACTTCGAAAAGAGATCAATCGTCGAATCCAACTAGGTAGGGCAGCGTTGGGAAAGCTGCGTGATATTTTCTCGTCCCAAATACCGCAGTGTCTCAAGACAAAAGACTACGAAAGATATAAATCTAACTGATGGTTCCAGAGGTAAGTGCCAATTTAAAAAAGGCAACGAAACAAACCAATTAAAATGTCCATTGTTTTTTTTTTGGCTATATTATTTTCATAAATTAGGAATTTATTAACCGACTTCAAAAAGAAGGAGGTTCTATATTCCACTGTACCTTTGTATTTTATATTGATATTTGAATACCTATTATACTGATACTTGTGTTGGTCCAAAGAACCTCATCTGGTAGGCAATATTGTACGTACTAGCATTTTCTTCAACGTGCAGTGATAATCCCTCTTAACTTCGTAGTTACCTATAAAAATATTTAAGACTCGAGCAATCTCTAACAATAAACTATTTTATTTGATACGTCATACACTTGATATTAAGCATTTTCTTAATTGTTTTAAAAGATGACCCCCCCATATTGAAATAAACTTATTTATCCGATACAAATCTGTATTCGGGTCACGGGTATTTTACGTCACGTTAGCGAAAGTTCATCCTAATCGGTCCATAACATTTGTGACAAAGTAGCCGTATCAGACAGACAGTGTGTTTTCATTAGAACACACCGAGCCTTAAGATTAACAAGTAGGACTTATTTCTTGGTTAGGCTACGCCTTACGTGACGTGTATGTACCTACATTATAACAATTGAAAATAGTAGTAGTAGTACCTACAGGTTGTAACACTAATATGTATTATCTTTTATTAAGCATGCATTTAAAAATGTAACTAATGAACATGTATGTAGGTAAATGTACTAAAGAGATTAGTTATAGTTATATTAATGGGACCTTCTTAAGCGACAATAATGATGGTATTGTCTACTTTCGTAAGAAAGCCCCGATTGTTAAGTTTCTGCAATAAATTATCTATATAATCGAGGCTTCCTTGCATTCCTATTACTTAACCTTAAACCACACAATTACATCCATATTTTTTAGGACACAGACACCGTTTCACGACACTGCTAATACAACATTCAAATGACACAGTTGTAATAAAAGTAAATAACTACTGACCAACGCTAGAATGTATTTCAAACACTTCATCTTTGTTATTAAACACTGTAAAAATATTCGCTATCAAAATATTTCACTTGCTATATGCGTCGGTGCAGGTGTACGTGCGCCTCCCTGGCTCTCGGTCACAACACTAGCGAGTGAGTTGACGATAGCGGTTCTCGGTGGAAGGGAAAGCAGCTCTCGAATGTTAATGACACCGGTACATATAATCGCATGGCGGACCAACATTTGTAATGATGATTAACGAGGAGGACGATGGACCTTTGACAATACTTACCATAGATCAGGTAATCCGTCGAAGTGCCGGTGCAACGGTGTGTTCATTTACTTACCTATGTTGTCTTTCTAATAACACATGATCATAAAAGTCCTACATCTTCTTTGATACTTTTAATGAGACGATCATTGTTTGACTCTGCATTCGGGTTAAGTACTTGACTGGTCTCTGGAGTGAAAATAAACCACACATTTTTCAAAAGTGTGCGTCATCCATCGTTTTGAAGCCAGTCGAGTTTATTGTAGCTACCTAACAGTTTTTACCGGTTTGTTTGAGCGTTGGATCCGAGTTAAGAATAAAATAAACACGGCCGTCAGATCGGTCAGAGCTCGCTAGACGCTCTACATTATGTAGGTAAAGCTTTTAGCAAAGCAAAGTGAAAGTAATGAGCGCGGCACCGCTACGTGCGGCCGCCACGCTTGTGTTGTGTAACCGCTTCAACACTGATGTAACAGCGCAGACCCTCTCTACACTTACGTGCGCTCAATCTCAGCCCCCGCCCGAGGACATCCACAAAGTTCAAAGAATGACAAACATACAACCAGTTACTCTATACATCTATCTATTGGTTCAGTTCGTAGATTGTCTGGGTAATATTGAGTACACCTGTAGGTGTCACTTAAAACGTGTGTTGGGTAGTCAGCGAGTAATGATGGCCTCGCCAGGTAGTACGTACATTAGATAGAGATAAGCCAATAAGTTATCGCAACGATCGCTAAGTTGTCCTTTACCTGAGGAATTTTTTCTTCATCCTTATGTTGTTAGTTTTTTTTTATTTCGTTTCGCTGGTGGAGATATTTCTCAAAAACTTAGAGTTCAATTTCAAAGTACATAGGAACTGCGCGGCACAACAACCTGCCTAGACCACGCACACAAGGACACATAATAAAAAACAACTTTTAGAATTACATTCATTTAATTTTGCGTTATTTACATAAGTACCACATACTTATTAAATTTGATCACAATAAAGCTGTAATCGTCCATAAATGACATATTAAAAAAAGTAGAATTAGATACTCGACGGACACAAAGGTGTGTTTTACAATTTTACAATTACCTATTTACATACGAGACTAACGCAAGTGCGTTCTTTACAATATTCACAATAATATCAACTTTGAAAGTTGGACATGAGTGGCTTCAGCTCTCACAGAGATGTTGACTAGAACATTACATTACATGCATTACTAGCAGCTGCACTCACATAACAGCCTGTGAGTTAAAACATACGTAAACGAAATTTGGTGCGGGCAGGGGGGGAGGACACTGACGACAGATCCAGGCCACGTCACTTCGAAGGAGAAAAGACATAACCGAAGGTAAATATTGATCAATCATCGAGCATCTTCGACCCGAAACCGATCCGCTAATATATTTCTTAGTTTCAGATGTCACTTAATCGATCAATATTTAAGCTCATCAAAAGTACTTTCGTTTTTATTTATTTCTGTGCAAAAAGTGACGTTAAACACGTACATATGCCACCTTTCCTCTTTCGTCAACCATCCAACGAGGACCCAAACCGTTACAGCATGTGTTTAAATCAATATTTTATTGTAACTTTTAGCCGTTCACTCAATAATGTTAAAGTTATAACTACAAAATGCAAACATAATTACGGTAGTTTGACTACTTAATGATAATTCACATAACAAAGGAACACAAGGTAAATAGCTATCTACGTTCTCTAGGTACAAAATATCTAAAGGTACTATGTGACGTGTAAATATATGTAGTTAGGAGATCGAGGCCGGTCACACCGTCGCCACGGTATCGGTCGACACTTAAAAACGAACTTATACTATAATTTATACAATAGCTTCGAGTGATTCGTAGCGGGTACGAAGTCGACCGTATACGATATACGTGCGAGCGCGTGAAACTTAATCGAACACGGCTCACCTTTAAATCACATAAAACTATATTTATTGAGCTACATACGCTACTCGGTTTATATGAGTACCGACGGCTCGTTATCGCTAATCATAAATGCTTAAAATTAGGGGATTTTCTTTTACTCGCATCGATATCTCGTTCGGTCGACGAGATCGCAGCGGACGAGCGAGCGAAGCGGTCGACGGAGAGACCGTCGAGTGCGCGAGCGGCGCCGTCACAGGCCGGCGCGCACGGCTCGCTCGCGCAGCGCGTCGGCGCAGCGCTGCGCCACCGAGCGGCGCCGCGTCAGCTGCTCCGCCGCGCGCGCGAACTTGTGCTGGTTGCGTCTGCGCACACGGACTCGTTGAGCGTTCACACGACCGCCCTTCGGTAGGTCCGGGGCCCCGTCCGCACGGCGATATTTTACGTAGCGTTTTTTTTCGCTTCCGTGACGCGCGGGATCCGTACGGGCTATCCGCACTCGCGGAAAAAGATCGAGAAAAAAATAACCGTGACGAACGTGCGAAACGAATCGCCGCCGTATCGCGTTCGTTCGTATCGAACGAACGAACGCGATACGGTGACGATTTATTTCTGCAGAATTTTGCGGAAAAAAAACGCGCGCAATGGATATCGCAGCGCCGACGGGCCCCGATTCTCACGTTTTAAAATAGGCCAAACCTAATTTCTAAGGAAAGTCCCTATGTAGGGCGGAGGACTATCGAGGCTCTCTATAGTGATGAAACTAACGAAAAGGCGATCGAAGGAGCTCGACTCGAATCCCGATTTAAAAAGGACCCGCTCCCGATCGAGGTGACCCTTTTCCGTTTTAACGAGATATAACTCGACGACGACGCTCACCTGATGTACTCCGCGGTGTCGACCAGCAGGTTCTCGAGTTTGTGCTCGTCGATCTCGTCCATGGCGCACTCCTGCATCAGCGGGGGGTTGAACCGGTAGTAGTTGCCGGCGGGTATCAAGTCGTTCAACACCAGGTGCACGCCTACGACACGGAACGTTGACACGTGTGAGACATTCGTGTTATGGAGAAAAGCTTTTCATTCAGATATAGCGCATCGTTTGTAAGAGAATAATTATTATTGTAAGAATTGCAAATAGGTAATCGAAATAAAAATTAAATAAAAAAAATACTTTTTGACACCAGGAATGTGTTCCCGCGATTTACCTTCGGTGTCGGTGGCGGAGTCGAGTATCTTGTTGAACTTGTCGCGCCAGCTGGTGCCGGGCGCGTGCGAGGCGTCTCGCGCCAGCCGCCCGTAGTCCTGGTGCGGCGCCAGGGCCCGGCCGGTGCCCACCGACACGAGCGCGCCGCGCGCCACTGCGTCCGCGCCGAACAGCAGGCGCGCCTCGTGCAGCCCGACGCCGGCCGGGTTGTTGACCATGATGCCGCCGTCCTGGTGCAGCAGGCCGTGCAGGCGGAACTCGTCGAAGTACGTGGGCGCCGCGGCCGACGCGCGCACGGCGTGCCACAGCTTGGCGCGCGACGTGCCGGGGAAGGCCGAGCGCACGCGGTACCCCACCGAGTACGAGCGGAACAGGTACGGCGACAGCCGCGACCCCGCGTTCACCACGCACGACACTATCGCCAGCTGCCGACCGCGACGCTCATTCCATTATACTCGTACTTGCGGGGGAACGATTCAAACAAAGCGATCGCCTCAGTGGCGCGGTGCTGTAGACTATTGGCACCGATCTCACCGGTACTTTTATATAACCCATGTGTGTATTTGGAAAATAACGATATCTAAGTATGATTATAAGTAGGTATTCTAAAATCCATAACACGAGTTCTGTCAGGCCAGGTCCGCTCCGTACCGTAGCTGGACCGACTCGTGCTATACTCAATCGTATATATGCAAAGATCCTAAACAAACTTTTTCACTCTTTTAGAGGACATCGAAATATATTAAAATTTTAACGCGAACAGAATTCTACATCATGGTATTTGGCTCGTTTTATCTCGTTCGGGCTCTAGACAAAGCTGTATTAAACGTTCGCTATTTATTGCCTGTATAAACCTACTTACACTTTTAAAGAGGCGTGACGTGCACCGTGCACTAACCTTAGGCATATTATTTCTATTGCAATGCGCGAGAGTGCTGTCCTTAAGGTTGTCCTGCAGCATCTTCTCCCACGCCTGCGTGTCGTAGTAGGAGTGCGTCCATACGAGGCGGGAGGCCCCACCGAGGCGGCTGGTGTTGCCGAACATGTCGCGCGACAGCGTCATGTACATGCGGCGCGCCTCGGCCAGGCTGCCCACGCCGCCGCCCACCACCGCCGCGATGATGGCGCCCGTGCTCACGCCGATGATGTAGTCGAACAGCTCGTGCACCTTGCGGCCCGTCAGCCGCTCCAGGTGTCGCAGGATCTCGATGGCGATGATGCCGCGGATGCCGCCGCCGTCCAGCGACAGCACGTTGGCGCCCGCCCAGCGCGGAGGAGCCGCGTAGCCCACCAGCGCCAGCGCCTGCAATAGGTAACCGCGGTCACTCTCGCTCGGGCGTGGGGCCCACGGCCCGCAGAGTGGAACTCACCTCGTTGGCGGCGCCCAGCACGTCGGCGGCCGCGCCGTGCTGCGCGCCGTGCTGCACGCGCAGCAGCGCGCGCACCGCGCCCTCCTGCACACACACACACGGGGGACACTAGTTAACAGACTCTCCGTCTATAGCTTTAAGAGATAAAATGGCATTCTCTTTTATTTTGATAAAATGTTTATGTTAAAAATGAAAATTGAACGAACACTTAGTGAGGTAGCAGCCGAACGATTTAAAGGTTACATTGCATTATTATCATCGTCACACACACCCGACACCCGTCCGACACCACCTCGACTCGGTGTCGACGGGCGCTCCACGGGTGTAGCCGCGTTGTAAACCAGAAAACGATACGACAGACGCGCCCGAGTGGAACCGGCGTGCCTCCGACGCATCGTCCTCACGCGTGAACTACTCGCGAACACCGCGCGGTCACCGAGTGAACCGCTCTCCGTTCGTGCGTGGATAAGCCTAGGCCAGGCGCTATGGAGTTGATGTACTGGTCGTTTACCCATAGTACTCCACACAAAGAAAACTAACCACTCGAGGCGAGACGATACTGGTCGGGTGTCAGGTGGCTCTACTGAGAATTAAGACTATTTATAAAGATCACCCGTAACAATAGAGAGACATAGGCGATGTCGCACTCTACTTTTACTCCAAACTATATACATATAGGGAAGCAGTTGCGGATGTTACGAGTACGGTAACATGTAGGTAAGTAATTTATGCTAGATTACAAATTTTGCTAATCGAGGCCACGTTTTCTACTCATACCCCGTCTTCTGTGCATAGTATCTTGTAATTTAAAATTCGTACAAAGAGATCGAAACTATTTCACATAGTAATACTGTTCAAAGCCAAATACCTACTTTAATATATTTAAGCTAGTACCTACTATAACCAAATGATGATGATGAACTACAAATCCAAGGAGAGAAATGAAACTAAAGAAGATGTCAGTGATGTGAAGAGTGAAGGGCTGCACCTCCGGTACAGTGGCACTGACACGCAATGCTATACCTTGATGGCGTAGTCCCTCGCCTCGGGGTACTCGTGCAGGTGATCGATGAGCCGCTCGGTGCGGCGCAGCACGCTCTCCGGCGACGCCGCGCTCTCGATGGCGCTCACCACGTACGCGGTGCGGGAGTGAATCGAAGTCTGGAATCAAACGAGTCGCTGAAACCTACGTCACTACAACATGTACATCTAACAAAATGTAACTCACTTTACAAACATCAAACTAATTTTTTGTTGGATGTGCATCTCTATAGCCTTGATTTTTCTTTGGGCTTGAGGCACCATCATCTAAAAATACTTTTATATATCTTACATGTTTCCTCTCTCTATCCTGCAATCCGTCGGAGTGATTTCGTGAAAAGACACGGAAGCGTGCAACAAGAAGCCAGGTAGCGCGTGCGGCACCAGGGACTTCCTTTCTAGGGTATACCTGGTTCCCCGGCTATTAGTACCCGAGACGGCGTGCGGTTTAAGTCGGTTCGAGTCCGACATGCCACCGATAGGTGGTATCCGAGGGGATTTTCACACGGAAAAAGAAACCAAAAAAAGGGTAGCGGTGCTAGAGAGGTTCTTCTAGTTCTGGCTCGTTTCTTTGCGACACACCGGTAATGCAGTGGGTGGAGTTCGAATCCGCTCGCAACGCATTAGCCAAATTACCGCTTTTTCGAAAATACAAAAGAAAGACCACATAATATACTAGACTATTCATTATACTTATAAAGATAAAATCAAGCTGTCCCTTTTTTTGAGACTTTTGGTGAGTGCTTAATTAGTGTTAGAACCATTAGATAAAGTAACACGAGATGGCGAGTTGCCAGACGACGCAACGGCCTCGCTGACATGACATTTTCGGCTATCTTTGTAGTTATAGATACATTTATAATACAACAACATTGATGATACATTCTGTTCCGTTATTTTATTTAAATTTGTCAAGATTTGTTAGGACAAGTGCACCTCTAAATAGGAAGGTCAGTCATAAAAAAATATAATACATTTATTTAATATGTCAGTAACATTATCATGAAATGTTAAGGGCCTTAAGACTTGCAACTAATCTTGGCCGGCAGTCGATATGACCATGATGTGAGATTAGCAGTCGGTAGAACTGACTACACATTACGCGGAAATTGTGCGTAGTTGCTGTTGCATAACATCGGGTGATGTGTTTTGGCAAATCTGTGGCCACCGAGCTAAAAACATATTGATAACATTTCACGCATTGCTACGTTTACTCAAAAGCACGTGCTGCGTACCACACTACGTCGCGCATATTCTTGGCCATTAGTCATGTACTGAAAGCTGAAGTTATTAAAGCTACGAGAAACAATTTATTCTATCAAGCCACTTTCTAATGGTCAGTTCGTTAAAGTTGAACAAATCTGTATTGTATAGGTACCGTGGCCGCGGCACTTACTATTCGTCTGCATTGAAACCTGGATTTTAGACCCACATTAGATAATAAGAAATACTGCAAATAGCTACGTTAGTGATCATAAATATTAGTTCGCATCATAGAGTCGTAGTAGACTTAAAGGCGACCCCAACCGAGTTTCAGAAAAAGGCTCGTAGGAAGGAACATTCTCACTACATTCACTCGACATGTGCTTGCCCTTCATGATTCCACTTCCTTATCAAAATGTTACGTCATTATGAGAAGCGGTGGCGTGAGTCTTTTATGTACTCTACGTATGTGTGATAGTTTACGTGTTGTTTGTTCGTCTTTCGTCTTATGTCTGTTTCATTGAAACGCAATGAAAATAAATATCAAACTGTTTAGGTTGCAAGTATTGTTGCGAACATTGCAAGTACGGATTAACACAAAATTCTAACTAATAATATTATAAGTTAGATAGTTTGTTACTCGTAGGCTACATGACCACGTAACTCATTATCATGAACTGGTATGAACATTACCAGAGACACAGAAAATGATTTGGTATCTTTCATAAAGATAAAAAGGGCAGTTCCCGGAGGACAGAACCGTTCAAGCAAAGCTTCAGTCTGTGTCCCTATAAATACAGACTTGAGCGGTGCAGACACCCATTTATGTCTGACAGTATGCAAGATATATTAATGAGCAACGCCCAAATTAGCAAATATGAAAACAATTGGCAGTAATTGTGTTTTACAATGCTGATGAAACCAATAAATGTATGTATATACTCATCACAAATTATTATTTTAGGACACTTGTAGACATTGTATATTTATTATTGTTTATATTTGTTTGCATGCTGAATGGTGGAGTACTGTACAGAATATTGTATAGACTATACTACATATGTATGTATTTAGAAATATATAAGTATGTTTATCAGCAGTCTGGTTACCATAGTACAGGCTCTGCCTAGTTTAAATGTGTGAAAATATTGTTATTGTTATCTAAGTTGTATACTTATATTAGCAAAAGACAAATGTATGAATTAATGAATGAAGAAATATTAAAGTACTGGGAAGATGTAAACCTTTACATATTTATTATCAGCAAAACCATGTTCAAGTTGTTCAAATTTTATAGCAAATTACTATTGTTTTGTTAATCCAGTAATGAAGTCTAAATATTTCAATACTGCTTGTTTGCCCCTATATACTGTAAAAAACACTTCCACCTCCAAGGCGGGCAATGTGCTTCTGACTCCTGTATTGTAAGCGTTCATGAGCAGCGGCACTCACATACCATCAGGCGACACATCCCATATGTTGCCCCATACATCATTATGAGAAAAAGTAACTGTAATCTCTTTAAATGGCAGTGTCCTCAAGAAAGGTAGTGGTAAATCATAATAAAGAATCATTGTCGTCCATCTAATCTAAGAGGTACCATTTGACATTTCATACTTTTCAAGGCAAAACAACTTTGTATTACCATTTATAACATTCCAAACTATTTTTTTTTATTTCAAGGTATACAATTCTTAATGAGTAAATTTTAACATAAACCTTTGAAATAAAGCAAAATAACCAATTAATACACAATAGATGTTTTTTTTATTTCAAACTCATTACAAAGTCACATAGTTAGGTCCTTTACCATAGTGTTGCGACTCTTCAAATACACTTAATATGAATAATAGTTAAAATGTATGAAAAATTGAGATTATTAATAACAGTAGAAAGAAAGAAGAATGAGAAAATTGAAACTCACCTTGGTCATAATCTGTTTATTGGACTTCCATGTTGGTTCAGATATCTTGCCCAGGTGGGTATCTTTCTTCAACTTTAGCCCTTGCCACAGACTCTCCACTGTCATGCTCTCTTTAATATCTGATCCTACATCTTTCTGTTTAACTTCTTTCAGTTCACTATTAGCAACCTGTGTATTGGTATCACTTTCTTCAACTTTTGTTGGTTTCAATACAGCACCACTGGCATCTTGTAGTTTGTCAACAGTAATTTCCTTTGTACTTGACATTTGCACTGACACCATCTTCTCAAACCTCTTGATGAGATCTGTACACCAACACACACAAAATATAATATTTGAATTAATACATTGGTACCAAATCTGTGAACAATGATGATACCTAGAACACAAGCAATGATTGATCGCTTGTAAGATGTATGTATCCAATGTAGTGTAGAGTATGTACTCACCGTCCCACTGCTTAGGGGTGGCGGGCTTAATCTTCTGAATTAATTTCTCCACCTCGCCATGAAGATTGCTCGACGACAAATAGTGTCGGATCATACGCCACTGGTTACCCAGCGAAGACATTTTCGCTTTTCTTTAGCAATTTCACAAGATATTACTTAATGTCTTGTCATGCACTCATTATAACACAATTTTTTTATAAACAAAGTCACGAACTATTATTCTCTAATATTTTCACAACAGCTGAAAGAGTTATTGGTACATACGCAACCTAAATACGTATGCTAATTGCGTCGCAGTTCCTATTGTATTACACGTTCACCACAATTCTACACAATAATATCTAATTTTCGCAAAACCTTGGCGTGAGTAAATATTCGCAAATATAAATAAATCAATGACAGTGACAAGTGACGTGACGTCAAATCGGATGATATCCAGTCAGTGCTACCAATATGAGGGAATCAAAACATTGCAGCTTTCATTCTGTTACACGTAAATATTTGTGTGAGCAGGTTCTTATTATATTATATTTTTACAATGAATGAGTAATTACGTTTCGATTTTTGAACAATGTTATTTTAATGCAATTGAAACCAATAAGTAAATTATACTGTATCCTTGCAAATTACTTAACTAAGTACAAAATCGTAATGTAAAATAAAAATCACATTTGAATGAAAAGTTATTTTACTTCAATTTGACCGCTCGAGTTACTGTAGTATATTGAGCTAAAGTGAATAGCACATGCGGTCTTTTATAGTTTTTCACTAGCAAAACATGTTTTTCTGATATTTCTCTGTAACCGCAACGTAAGCTTCGTGACGCGGGGCAGAGGACAGACATTGTCAGACGATACGCAGTACTTTATTATGATTGTCGTATTCGCCACACCTCTTTTGCGGCACATTAATAAACATCGTACGATTGAGTATTGCAACTGTGCCAAGTATGTCACCCTCAAAACAATTCAGCTGTACCGACCACGTGATGATTACTCATGATTTTGCGTAAAAATGATCGTAAACTATAAAAGTGGCCGTCATGTATTTTGAGTAGGTACAACCGTACACAAGTACACAGGGATTAACATTTAGTTAATTAATAATAATATATCTTACATATCTTACACACGGCCGTCTGATCACAAACTAGGCAGGACCTGTGCTATGGTAACCAGACTGCTGGTAAATATACTTATATATTTTTTTACGAGGAGATCCGCAGGAGAACAAAGGTGGTCGACATAGCCCAACGGATGTGTGTGAAGTGGCAATGGGCAGGGCACATAGCAAGGCGGCCGAACTGACGGCCGATGGGGCAGCAAGGTTCTCCAATGGAGACCACGTACTAGAAACCGCAGTGTGGGACGACCGCTTACCCGATGGACGGACGACCTGGTAAAGGTTGCCGGTGTAAGGTTGGGTGTCGAGAGTGAAATTAAAGATGTTGTTAGATCAACGATCAGATTTATTCTCCAGTAAATACAATAGTGATCACTACTTTATCTTAAGATAGACATACGTATTATATATATTAGACTTGCAACGAATAGTATATTCGGCAGTATACCGAATACCGAATATTCGGCGAAGCCCCTGACCGAATAGCCGAATATTAGGCAAAAGTATTCGGCTGGATTTTAGCGCCAAAACTTGTACAGACGTGAATTAAATTATGTACCTGTTTTATGTACTAATGACTACTTAATAAATGATTATAAAAGAAATGAGAACCTTACCCTTCTAAATTTTGATTACCACAATAATTCAAATACATAGAATCCTCCATTTTTCCAATTCAGAAGATGATTATGTACCTGTGTTATTCAGCAATGACTACTTAAATGATTATAACAGAAATAAAAATATGAATATATACGTAATCAATCGTTTTTAATTTTTCATTTTACCAATTATTTCTCAATGACAAAATATATTATTTAAGTATTCGGTATTCGGCCGAATAATATGTAGATATTCGGTATTCGGCCGAATATAATAAAAGCAGCCGAATAGGCCGAATACCGAATAGTAACGAATATTCGTTGCAAGTCTAATATATGTATTACTACACTACACCCCCCTTCTTTTAAAAAAAATAAAATAATACAAGATATTTATTTTATTTTCAATATAAAAATTCCTTCGATCTAAAAACACACAATATTTATGGTAAATAAAAAGGAAAAAAAAATAATTAAGGTTATAAAACTAGGTAAATATTACAAATTTAAGTTCTATACAATTTGGTTATATTTTTGTGAACTGTTTCAATTTTATTATCTCTAATTATTTTAACATTCGGTGACACATCTTCTAAACATTCTGAAATTTATTGCAATTTTCATTGCGTAATAAAATTAAATCATTAGGTTCGTAAATAGTTGGATTTATTTGCTTATCGTAATTACGTTTTCGGGCTACTTTTGACATTAACAAATTTTCCCTAGCTTGTACCTGAGATTTTTGAAGTCTATATTTCAAGGTTAATGGATAATCATCACTATTGTACAGAGGTTCAACTTGTTGAGACAGATTTGTAGGTAATTTACTCAGTTTTCCAAACACACAAGCGTAAATTTTGTAGATGTGTGTACAGTAGTATTATAACTAAAATACCAATAGGGAACCCAGGTGCTCCACTCTCTAGAATTATTATTAGTCTGTATCCGAAGATAAGCATTTAAATTTTTATGTGCATTTTCAAGCGCACCTATAGATTCATGATGGCAAGCGGTTGAAAATAATTGTTGAACACCAAGTAATTTACAAACCTCACTCATTGTTGATGCTATGAACTCTGAACCCTTATCTGTCGCGATTTCTCGCGGTGAGAATGAAGTTTTCTACGAAAGATTTTGCTACCGTGACAGCGTCCTTACGATCTAAAGGATATGCTTCTACGAACTTAGTGAGTTCGCACTGAATAGTTAAAATATATACCTTACCATAATAATCCTTATCTAGGGGCCCCACTAAATTTAAAAATATCTTATCAAATGCGCCTGCGGCAGTGCTAGTTACCACCATAGACTCTTTAACGGGCAAAGAATGCTTTTGCATTTGGCATTTCTTGCATTTAGCTACAAAAGCAGTAACGTCACGTTCCATTCCAGGCCAAAAATAAGATTTTTTGATGTTATTTAACATTCTTCTTATTCCGGCATGACCACTAGTTGGTAGGATGTGATAGTCATTTATGATTACCTTTTTGTCATCATTAGAAATTATTCGCTTAACCCCCTTTAGGATATGTAGTCGTGGTCCGGACCATGGATTTTTATTATTTATTTCTTTTGACTACCAACTTACAAATTCATTACAACTTGCAAGTTTTATAATAAAGAGATCTTTCATACTCATTTTTTTACAATATTGCTCCAGTTCACTCACATATGCGTCTCGCGCGATACATGATCGGAAGTCTGGACAAGTATACAATCTCATTTCACTTTCATTATATAAAAATACTAGCTGACCCGCGCAACTTCGTCTGCGTCTCTCAATAGTAATAAATTTTCTCCGTTTTGAAACATTCTTCATTGGTGCTCCGCTCCTATTGGTCTTAGCGTGATGATATATAGCCTATAGCCTTCCTCGATAAATGGGCTATCTAACACTGAAAGAATTTTGCAAATCGGACCAGTATTTCCTGAGATTAGCGCGTTCAAACAAACAAACAAACAAACAAACTCTTCAGCTTTATAATATTAGTATAGAAATCTGGACTATTTAATTCACTATTCATAATATTCATTTTTCTCCGAGAAACTAATAATAATTCAACAGATTTTGACGGCTTTGTAAGCATTTCCACAACCTTCGGTTGATCAGGCCGAATGTTAGTGGTTGAGCTCGGCAAAGTTTGCAAATTTGGGTGAATTACTTTCTGACCTTCCAGTTTCTTTCGTTGATTTCTTGTCATAACATTAATTATCCGTTCACTCATATCTTTCAACTCTTCTGATGTAACTCGCATCCTAGATAATGTGTCTGCAGCAACATTGTCTTTACCTTTTATATACTCAATCACAAAATCATACTCTTCCAAAACTAAACGAAATTTCGTCAATCGGCTTGAAGGATTGTTCATGTTAAATAAATATATTAAAGGGCGATGATCTGAAAAAATTGTAAACCTTTTCCCAAACAAATAAGGTCGGAAATATTTAATAGACCAAACAATAGCTAGCATTTCTTTTTGAATGGTTGCATAGTTTAATTCAGCTTTATTTAAGCTACGACTTGTATACGCTACTGGGCGACCATCCTTATTACATAAAACAGAACCTATTGCAGTTCCTGATGCGTCTGTGTACAACCGAAATTCATAGCAGTATAGATGTGTTGCTGCTTCTTGTATGCCTCCATGTTGTCAAGCGATCTCCGTTTAACTTTTGGCCTTTTGATAAAGGTTTTAGCAGCGTCCTGCGCTGCTGCGGTTGCGGTGGTAGGACTGGGAGTGACGGGCGTAGTAGCAGGTCTCCTGGCCGTACTAGAGGTCGCGGGTGTGCGGTGCATACTCATTGTGGTATGTGTGTGTGTGTGTGTGTCTCGGGGAAAGTTGTCAATTTGTAAAGTGTATTTTAGACCCTGTAAAGGGGGGTCTATGTCAAGTATAAAATAAAAATGAATATAAATGAATTTAAATTTGGCAATGGCGATTTAATATTGATATTGCCTATCAATAAGGACTATATACAGACAATCTCAGTCAAACACAGATATTCTCTACACAGAGTCGTTGTATATCTAATAAATTTAAATTTAAAACTTATGCTAACCTATTTCAATATAAAGTAGCAAGACGCTACTTTTGTTCTTAATACTATATAGAATCCTGCACAGCAGGGTTGTCAAGGCACAGGAAATTAAAAGAAAATAAGTTTAAAAATAAAAAATAAAAGTAAAAATGAAATAAAATAAAATAAAACAACTTGAAGGTAGGAACAGTCAGGGTCAGTCTACTGGGCGTCCCGAGCCAGTTCAGATGAACCCAAACTCGGGGGGTCCAGGTGCCCTGGGGGCAAAGTTAGGAGTAGAGGAAGAGAAGGGGTGAGTTTTGGAGGGGAGGGGAAAAACTGCCGGGGCCAATCGATTGGGCTCTCCGAGCCGGTTAGA